ATGCTGTTTTTGTTCCTTTGCCCTCTGAGGCACGCACAGAGTTAGTGATAGAGAAGTTTTTGGATGCCTAGGTAAGTGAGCATGGTATCGTTGTCTATAGTTAGTGATAGAGACACGTGGTTTACTAGTCTGAACTGGCAGGAACTTAAGAAAGTGTATGGTTCTAAGTTGTTGATGCCGCCTGGCCGCCATCTAGAGACTAACGGTCAGACTGAGCAGATGAACAAGATCCCGCAACAAGTTCTTAGAATGTATATTAGACGTGATCAGGTTAACTGGGACGAGATGCTCCCAAAGGTAGCCAGTGCTTACAATAATAGTGTTCATCTAGCCACTTGTCGCACTCCCAACGAGTTACACAAGTCCTTTAGACGCCGCAGACCGTTTGAGGGACTAAACCGGGACCAGATTCAGAGGCTGGCGCCTGGTAGTAGGGAGTTCGCGCTACAGCACGAGAAGGAAATTGCCAAAGTGGTAGAGAACCTCAGGAAGGCCCAGCACAGAATGATAGAGCAAGCTAACAAGCATCGTCGCCCATTGCAGTTCCAAGTAGGCGACTTTGTCTGGGTCAGGTCTAAAGAGTTTACTCTTGAGGAGAAATTGTTGTCTGCGTATAGAGGACCATGGCCAGTTCTAGAAGTCAAAGGCTGAGATGACGGACCGTCCTACACGATAGACATTCCAGCACACCTCCACACCTATCTAGTTTTCCATGTGTCAAAGCTGTTGCCTTGCACTACGAGTCAGCAGTTCCCATCGAGAAGATCCATGATCCCTCCGGATATGGACGGAAGGTACAACGTTGACGGCATAGTGGATGAAGATGTATTCAAGACAAGGAGTAGAGGTCGTCCACAGAAACAGTATAAAGTCAGATTTGCCTACCAAGAGCCCGAGGATGATCGATGGTTTACGCGAACAGAACTTCTAGAAACGGCTCGCGACATAGTTCGTGCCTACGAGAGAGCTAAGAAAGGTAAAGATCCTGCTATAGATTGAATTATTCTCAGAGGACCTCGAATTTAGGTTGGCGGGAGTGAAACGGTTCACCTGTCGCACGACAGTTTGCAGCAGCCAGGGCTTGATCCTTAGACCTCCCCGCTACCCGTGTACAGTATATGTTGACCCTTGCGTGTGCTCGAACCCGCGACCTGTCCATGAAAGTCGTCTGTTTGAGGCTATTGTACATATGTAGGTCACGGGGTCTCGATCTGTTAACCTGTAGGGTAGTAGTCTTAGTGTAGGTCCGGTCGTAGCTGCTACAGTTTCGAAAGGTCAATGATGGTCGTAGGTGCTACAGTTTCGAAAGGTCAATGATGGCCGTAGCTGCTACAGTGCCGAAGGGTCACGTAGGATATACTAGGACTTTCTAGATGAGTCTACTCTGCCCCTTCATGAATCCTAGCTAGCAGTCGGTAGGCAAGTGGGCAAGTGGGCAGTCTAACTCAGCCCAGTCAGCGGTACCCAGTGCCGGTCGCACCTTGTCAAGTCAGCAAGTACCATGTGGGACTGTGTGCACCCCGGCCCCAGGGTCCAAGGGCAGAACTTCGCAATCCGAAGTATAAATCAAGAGGCAGCGTTCAGTCATTCATTCATTCTGCCTGTGAGCCGTGCGGAAGTGCTGTCGGATTGTCTTGTGTACGAAGGTCTGCAGGTGCCCGAAGGAGAAGTGGGCTAAGAGGAGGAAGTCGGCCATAGCCGAGCTTGTTAGTAGGGAGGAGGAAGACGGCGGCCATAGTCGCCACATCAGAGAGTGAGTAGGTGGTTAGTGTGTGTGTATGTGTGATGTGTGTGTACGAGTGCGGGACATCCAGGGAGATCCAGGGTGTGTGTACGAACAAGTTACTGGGAGTACAGCGGACGGTTATAGCCAATCAAGACAAGTTGAATCTGAACTGCGTTCTTGGCTTCGTTATCTCTGAGCTTTGTGTGGGCGCAAGTCGCCAGCTTGATCGTCATCTGTTTGTAAGCATGCTGAGTGTGGAGAAAAACAAGTCTGATTGCACTAGACTGAAATTTGTCCCAAATATAGACTATCTATAATGACTGTATGTTCTCTTTGGGGGAAGACAGCAGCGAGCCTACGCTCTTTGCTTTTTTCCGCCTTGTCTCGTTACCGTATCACATTAAACCACCAGTACCTTCCCCGGCTATATTTCAGAGATGCGGCTCGTTAACGGCCGGGTTGCCGTTGGTCAAATTCAGCAAAAGGGCCTTTGTCGCATCACCGGCCCTCCGAAAGTCGCGGTGAGGGGCCCGGCGACATGGTCCAAGTACTGGTGGTTTAAGCAGCGCTTTCTCATGCTGATCTGCAACTGTGGAGCGAACCCCTCAGCCTGAGGCACACCTGCTCCCAGGAATGTCATTGCCTTCCTGCAGGATCCCGAATATCAACGACAAGCATTCATTACGTCCTTTTTAGTAAGTTTCTTGTAAATTTCTACTGATCCCATGAGAAAGGGGTTAGTTTCAACTGATCCAATGAATGTCATTGCCTCACTGGACGATCCCAGTTATCAGCGACAAGCGCTGCGGACTTCTGCTGCGCTTCAATTAAAAAGAACCTTCACCTGCGGCCGTGGCTTTTTTTCCCTGATACCTGACTCTATGTTTGGTGCTGCACACCGACCAGGTGAATGGTCCTACATTCTATCTGTGTACCTGCCTACCTACCTAATAAGTTAATAACCCATCTATCCTTTCTTTCGGCCTTCCTACTGACCTAGTACCTACCTACCTACCTACCTACCTACCTACCTACCTACCTACCTACCAACCTACCTACCTACCTACCTACCTACCAACCTACCTACCTACCTACCTACTACCTACCACCTACCTACCTACCTACCTACTGACTTACATACCTATGTAACTATCCAGACAGTCTGCCTCCCTGTTTGCCTGCCTGCCTGCCTACCTGCGGGTCCCCGACACGCCCACCTGGTCGTGTTACCTGCTGTTGCCGTGCCAAACAAGAGTAGATGGCAGTTGAAAGGTCCAAATTTGAACCTTCCTATGGCGTATGCCGCAACGAACAAGAGACCAACCCCTCTTGTCATTCAGTAGGGTACTTTATCCACATCTTAGTTGGGTTGCCCTTCACATTTGTTCACTCCATTCATCACTGTGGTAGTGTGTGATTTCTGGCCGAGTGTGCATGGGATGTGGGTGATTCGGCAACTGCTCCATGTGCAATGACTGCAGGTCTTTGAGATCAACCTCGTATTGGCATGCCCCCATCCTCTTAGCACATGGTGCTAGGGACTCGTTTTTTCTTTCCTGATATGGAAAGAAAAAGGTTCTGATCTGCTTGTGGGAGCAGCGCCTACTGGAAACCATACAGGTCCTTGGGATTATTTTGGAGAACGAGTAAGCTTTCTAGTTCCACTTTTTTGAGATCTCCACCATACACTGTTGTCATGCAATCGGCAGCTTCCTGTCCTTCCTTCTGACAGTGTCGTTGCAGTTAAGAGTCTTTTTAATCATCATCACACCCTCTCAGTTCAGACTGACTCCATAAAAACCATTGTCACTTCTCAGCCTCCTTATTATGGACTATGTTGCTAAATCTGGCACAAGAGAATTGCTCACCAGAGTCAACACAATGGACCTGTGTGTATGTTCTCAACTTTCAGGTTTCGATATCAGTTCTGAAAACGGACTGTTGAAGGATGCTCGATAAGATTAAGCAACTTTAGGCTGTCATCGGTGGATAAACGGGCTATGAGAGGCTGCCTGATGAAGTAATCATCTTTGGGAGTTTGGAGTCTTTGGACTAATATTCCTGAAAACATACCATTGGAGGCTGCCTGATGAAAGGATTTCACGCTGCAGACACCCGAACTCCCAGTCCCAGAAGTCCCAAAGTCCCAGTGCCCCTGTTCTGGATGGTCCCGGGTGTACCAAGTCCGGGTAGGGTAGATCCGATAGACTAGGTTGAAGTGTCGTAGGTCGAGTCCGGTCAACATCTAGGAAATGCCGGGCCATTGTAGAGTCAGTCTGGTACCCGACAGAAAAGTTGAGGACTAAGGTGTCAGTCCAGTCCGGTCCCGAGTCCACAAAATTGCAGCAAGTCCCAGGAAAGTCCGGAAGCTACCGGACCGGTCCAACAGACAGGCCGTTGCTGACCGGTACCGGTCCGAAGCAGGCCAAGCATCGACAGGTCCTATATTTAGCTGCTACAGTGCAGCAGCTCATCAGTTGTTCATTCACTCGAAGAGAGGGGAGCGGCGACGCCGACCATAGCTAGGGTAGTGATAGGGAAGCAGGGTGGCCATAGCGGCCAAGGTCTGAGTCTGATCTGAGTGGCTGTATTCAGGGCACGATCCGGGGGAAGAGAAGCAGAGAGAGGTTGTGCGGCTGAGCGCTACAAGACCAGAGGGAGGGAGGGAGGGAGGGAGGGAGGGAGAGAGAGAGAGAGAGAGAGAGAGAGAGAGAGAGAGAGAGAGAGAGAGAGAGAGAGAGAGAGAGAGAGAGAGAGAGAGAGAGGGAGTGGGGGAGGGAGAGAGAGAGAGAGAGAGAGAGAGAGAGAGAGAGAGAGAGAGAGAGAGAGAGAGAGGAACAGTAGCTGGGTACATACCTGCTTCGTGTGTGGAAATTGTGTAAGCGGCGAAGTCCGCAGGAGACTTGGACACTTTCTTTGTATAATAATGAGTCTCGGCTACGGGTTTTCGTTCATGGGCTCTCATCTGAATGTTCGTTGCATGTGTGTGCGAGTTGGGAGTGATTGAAGCTATCGAAGCCCGTCTTCAGATAATGTCATCTATCGATAAGCTTTCTGGAAACTTGAAGACAGACTATTGAGCCGTGTGATGAAGTTAATCATCTGTGGGATGGACTGGGATCACATTCATTCTTCAGGCTGGCTGTTGAGCATATGTCTGTCATTTTCAGGTTGGCTTTCAAACATGTACTGAAATTTCAATTTTCTGGGTAAAATGGTGATCTGCAGATGGCATGGAGGGTTTCAAGGGGGTTGGTGAGGATACATTTGGGGGGCGCAATTGCAATTGCCAGAAGAGAATTTGTCGACAACACCCCCCCGCCATTGCATTTGCCGCTGGAGGTAATAAGGTGAGGAGGGGGAAATTTCGTGGATATCCCTATCGTGGCTGCCTTCCTAACATAGCAGTGCTCGTTGATAGAGACGGACACAGGCATGCAAAGTGGACCTGCTTCCATCTTGTGTATTGTGGTGCCTCTACTTTGATCATGTGTCTTAGCCTCCAGACAAATCATCTTAGATCATACTCACATTCTGACTTCCTGGGATGCATCGGACTGCAGCTACAACTTGATTCATTCGAAAAGGTCTCAGTCTGAATATGCCATTAGAAACACCACTGTTCAGAAATATCTGGAAAGACTGGATGATACTTGAATTCCTGATGCTTTGAAAGCTTGAATTCAGTGTTTCATGAACTTGCATTTTGGAAAAGACAGAGTGTTGAGCTCAACACATGCCATCCCTTCAGATTCAGAATGAGTTGGCGAAAGTCCAACATAACAATTTGTCAACAGACTTAACACCCATAACCTCCCCCCAACTTTTTTGTCCTTTTAACCGTTTCCAACTTTCCACTAATGGTTTACCAGGTTGTTTTTTGGGACATTACTCAGGTTGGAGAGCCGTGTGATGGGCGACCATCTCGCACGGTTCGGAGAGCACTTGTTACGGCTGAATAGAACGTTTTACTACGGTCTATCAGTTTAACTCTTGACTCAATTTATTATTATGGAGAATTATTGTATCAAGATTTGAATATTCGAGAATACTTCGGTTCAATTCGACCGCCTATGGGTGCGCAAGTGTTTGGTTTTCGTCCTGGTAGATGTGTTATACACCATTTTCCTAAAAGAACCCCTCTTCCAGACCCTCCCTACCCCGCCACCCACAAACACACCCTCTCCTCGCCCTACTCCCCCTGCAGAACTGCTAAAAGCGAATGAATGACCATCACTAAGAGAACAGACAGAACAGACAAGTGATAGGCTCCGAATATGCCAAAAGCAAGACGGGTGTGTAGGTACTTGGTACCTAGCACTCAACCACGCAAACGTAGCTGGTCTCACCGAATTTGCAGCAATGAAATGGCCATATCAACATCAGGCTTGTACTCCCGGGGCATCCCGGGCTGGGGTCCGAGGGTGCTGGGGGTGGGACCCCTGGCCATGTTCCCTTAGGGATGTGCCCGCACACCCCGCAGCACACGGGCCTGAAGGTTCGCACCCTTTGTGGGGATAGGGACGACGATGTTGCAGGGGAGCTGTGGGGGTGAGGCCAGCGCTGTTCCGGGGGCACTGTGGGCGCCGAGGTCAGTGGTGTGGAGGCGGTCAGGAGAAGTGGCAGGGACGTTATCGTGGGGTTGCAGGGGCGGGGGTGGTATCGTGGGGTCACAGGGGTGGGGACAGCATCGTGGAGCCGCATGGGCGGGGACGACATCGTGAGGTCGGAAGGGGGCGGAACAAGATAATGGTGCAGGTGACAGGGTGCAAGGGCACGGGGCAGAAGATCCCCACCTTCCCTAGCTTTGTTGCAGGGGCGCTCTAGGGGCTGGGGCAGCGTTGTAGCAGGGTTGCTGTGTGGGCCGGGGGCAGGAGACGGGGTACGGAAGCAGGGCACGGTGAAACGGGGGTTGTTGAAGGGATGCTGTGGGAGCAGGGTGGCATTGTTTTGCAGGCTTGCTGTCGGGGGGGGCAGTGTTGTTGCAAGGGTACTGAGTTGGGGTGCAGGGCCAGTGACAGGCGCCGGAATGGGGTTGTGGAATTGCGGGCGTGCGTGGGTGGGGAGAGCGGGGGTAAAGGGGGGGAGCAGAGATGGGATAATGGTGCAGAGGACAGGGTGTAAGAGCACAAGCCAGGAGTGTGTGAGTGGGGGCCACGGGAGTGGGGGCAGGGGATGGATGGGGGCGGGGTGGGGTGGGGTGGGCGCGGCCGGGCTGGGGCCAGTGGCAGGGACAGGGCCGATGGTGCAGAGGCATGGTCAGGTACTGCGGCGGGGGCCGGGACGCCGGGAAGTGGCAGGGGACAGGGTTGACCGTCCTTTGGCCCCTCCCTTTGTTTCCAGCCACGGGGAGCAGGCAGAGCAAACAAAAAAAATCGACCTTCGTGCGGGGTTGCAGAGGTCTGGGACACAACCCTGGTTTCCTTGTGCGAATCCCCTAGTACGCATCCGGATAGAAAATGGCTCGCTATGGTGATTGTTTAAAACATACACATTGGGTTTTGTCGCCGTGATAGACTCTTTTCTCGGACATGCTGTCATTGTTGTCAGGCAGGTGTCCGGATCGACAGTCTGCTACGATTACTCTGGGTGGCTTGCTGAGTCCTCTTATCCATCAGGCAAATGCATCCCGGGCAGACTGTCTGTCCAGGTTCAACCTCCTGATGAGTTTTGAAAGTCCAATGAAACAGTCTGGCACAGTCATCCTTTTTTGTGAACTTGTGTATAGCGAACATGTCAACCCACACACACACACACACACACACTCAACCTAGCTCAGCCAGTGTCTGCCGTGGGTGTGATTCCCACGGGCGGCCACTTCGGAGCACATCAAGAGCATGAGAGACTTCCAGGTCACTTTACCAGTCAGCACTCCTAGTCTTTTGCAATGGTCTTGTGGTCTTCCACCTGATTTGTGATGTTCGTGGATGCACTCGGAGGGCTTTTCTTGTGGGTGAGATTCCCGTTAAGCACGAGCACATGGCCCCAGCCAAGTTCAGAAGCCGATTGAGCCTCTCCTGAAATTTTGGAGGCTGGCACACCGTCGATAACATAGATCGACAGCGGGCGTCGCGTTCGCGTTTCGGAGGCCTGTGGCCGATGTATGGGATGTACTGGTGGTTTAACTAAAAGCTTTTGGGACACTTTTGGGGGAGTCTTATATCCCATGGAGCTAGTGGTGCCATGCCTGCTGTTTTTTTTCCTCCCGTGTACCCGAAGCAGTGGTGCTTGCATCTCAGCATAGTGGGACAGTCAGGGCTTCTTTGCGCAATGCTTTTTGTAGAATGGTCAGATCTACTTTGTGAGAGGTGAGTGGGTTAAATGAATAACTATATATGGCATGTGCAATTGAGTGAATGAGTGACTAATTGACTGGATGACTGACTGAATGAAGGGCGGTACCCTCACCCCAGCAAAACAACCGCCCCCCAAGAAAACAACCAAAGTGTTACCAAACATGTCCCAAAGGCAGGATAAAGATAAAACCACCCCTCACCACAACTGGTTCCCGTCTGCCCAAAAAATATGGACCGCCTGAGACAGGCTCACAGGGACGTGCGTGTCTGGAAACCGTCTTCTATGACGATCCAGACAACATGCACGTAGGTTTCAATCACTGACTAGATGGTAATTAAGTGGCTCTTTGTCAAAAGACCAAAGAAACAAAGGAACATAAAAAAAAAGGGGTTTCAATCACTGTACTGTGACTTTTGCCCATTCCCATCTTGTTATCTTGTTTGTATTCCCTCCGTTTTCTTTTTGTTTTGATTCCCTCCTGATGTGGACGTTGTGTGTGATTGTGTTGGCCTTGGATTATCCTTATCAGTGCCAATGTGCAGTATGGACTGAGGGTGATACTGCGTCTTGAACGCATGAAAGGTGCAGTTGCTGGTTGAGATCGGCTGAGCCTTCCCCTTGAAGGAATTGAACGTCCTGTATGAGTGAATGGAGGGGTGGGAAGGGAAAGAAGGGAGCAGGGAGATGAGAGTAGCGCCGATGAGGAAGGGTGTGGTTGAGGATATTAGATATCGCCGGGATTGAGGCAATCAGGATCAGGAGACACACTTGCTAGATGGGCGATTGCATGTAGAGAACAACTAATAGACTCTTGCTGTTGCAAGGATGGAACTTCGTGTATGAGGTGGATGGAGGGATGGAAAGAGGAAGGAGGGAGTAGGGAGGTGAGAGTAGGTGAGAGTAGTGCCGATGAAGAAGACAGTGGCTTAGGAGATTAGTTATCACTTTTATTGACATCAGCAGAATTACCAGATCCACTAGTGGTTGAGGGGATTAGATTGGCAATTGCATGTAGAGAACTAAGTGAGTCTACAAAACTCAGGAAGGAGCAGATTGATAGAAAGGTAGGGGGCAGAAAGGGGGGGGGGGGGGGGGGGGGGGGGGGGGGGGGGGGGTAGATAGGTATGGGGGCACTTTGCTTCCGAGTGCGAAAAGAACGTCCTTCCACGGTGACAACCAAATTGAACGGCCGGTCATCACCTTGGCTGTCTCGACATGCTGAGGGCGAAATCGAGGATGATGAAGAAATGCATGGATTGGACAGGAGGAGAGAAAGAGGTGGTGGGGGACACAGTGGGGGTTCCAGCAGGCCAGGCAAAGGCAGGGGAGGAGGGATTGGTGGTGGGGTTGTGGGACAAGCAGTGTCTGCTGTTGGAGGAAACTTGATGCGGGTAAGCTCTATTGGGTCTCGCAAAGCCAAGCAAGCTTTCGATGCTTTGGGACGAGGTGGAAGCGGGTTGAGTTTCTCCACCAGCTTTACTTCCGCCAAGCGGAATAGCATTAAGATTGGAATTCTGGCTTTTGAGGTGGCAAACGTTGTTGTAAAGGCAATGAATCTGCGACAATCGATCTCAGAAAGTGATGTGCAGCTCTTGGAGGAAATCATATCATCGCATGGTGTGCGCCAGCTGGTATCTCATAATCGGGAGATTCTTTGGCGCATTGCTGCTGCGGACAAGAAGGCGGAGCTTGATATGTTTTGCCAGGAGGTTGTGCGATTAGGAAAGCAGTGTGATGATCCCGCCTTCCATTGGCTGGAACGGAACTTCCAAAGTGTGGAGACAGGCGTCGGGCGGACTCCGGAGCCTCAGTTGGCGCCAGAGGAGCTGGAAACGCAAAGCAACCTGTTGGAGGACTTAGTGGCCGCAACTGCTGATTTGTACCATGAGCTACATGCCTTGGAGACGCTTGAGGGGGCCTTCAAGAGAAGACAGCAGGAGGAGGAGTTTTTCCCAGGTTCGCAGAAGGAGAATCTTCCAGGGCTTCGGCGGGAGTTAAAACAACAAGAGCGTTCCGTAAGAGCTCTGAAAAGGTCGTCTCTGTGGTGCAAAAGGCTGGAGTGGGTGGTGGAGCTCCTTGTAGAAACTGTCTATAGTTTAAACAAACAGATTGTGGAGGTGTTTGGCAGTGAAGTTTTGGAAAGCGTGAGAGAGAAAGGATACCCTGGTGCAGCCGACGGGCCACGTCTCGGACCCGCTGGTCTGGCTCTGCATTACTCCAACATCATCATCACCATTGACAACATGGTCGCAAGACCCGCTTCTGTAGGCACGTCTGCTCGTGATAATCTCTATCAGATGTTACCGACAACTGTAAAGAGTGCATTGCGAGCGAAACTTTTGAAATCTTCTCACCTCAAGGATGAAAGTGTTGCCGGTATAAAGATGCTAATGGACAATAAGCTCGAGTGGCTTCTGGCTATGGCTAGCAACATGATCCGGTACTCATCGGAGAGAAGGCTACAAGGACACACTGAGGTTATACTCCTTCAGACTCTGCATCATGCAAAACAGAAGGAGACCGAAGCAGTCATTCTGGAACTCATCTTGGAGCTACACCACCTTGTCAGCAAGACAAAGAACCTGACCAACAACTACGCAGGTAGGTACCAACTGCCCCGCCGAGGGCAAACAGCGTGGGATTCTCGGTCACCACTCCCTGGCATGCAAGCGAACTTTCAGGGGCTGGCGATGAGAAACGGACCACTGGGCGTTGGGTATGGGACAGGAAGGGAGCCGGGTTTCGAGAGGATTCCCCAAGGAGAGGAGGAGGACATCGCAGCTGTGGAAGATGGTATTGGTCACAACGATGTCAAGGAGGAACAAGAGGTGGAGCGGGAGGAAGAAAGGCTCGGGACGCGTTCACCCTTATCGAAGCTACACTTTCGAAATAATGGTTTGCCTTCCTTTCAAATGGACCATGATGAGCACTTTCCATCTTCGCCAGTCCTCGCGTCACCGTCCGCGATATTGCTCTCCCCTGAAATATCTGCTGTGCGAACTCACAAAAGAATATTGATGCGGCGCACTGGATCAAGAAGTGCTGGATCTCTTGATTCCTTCCCCCTCTCCCCTGTAGTGGCCAGTCCAGCAGGTCCATCCACAGTTCCAGGCTCGCCACCATTGTCCCCATCCAATGTTCCCCTTGAGGTGCACTCCAGAAAGAAGGAGGCAGAGTCACTGGATGGAAGTGATGCTGCCTCAGATGGCTTCCAGTCTTTTGACATGCCGTTATCGCCTCCCCAGCGCCCCACCACTTCCGTGCGATCCAGTCGACCCCTTTTTCGTGGTCCTCCCGATGCAGCCTCTCCTGACCATAGCGAAGGAGAGCCCAACAACCCATCAAATGCTCCTTACGCAATCTCGACTAAGACGATCGATGGGAGGGGAGGGCAACCCAGGTTGTTGCAAGGAGATAACAATCATCATAACGCTGTCAACAGCGATGACGATTCCAAGTTTGAGGAGGAGGAGGAGGAGGAGGAGGAAGTTGTGCAGAATGTGGTAACAGATACCAATGGTAAAGAGGGAGAGGGGGAAGAAGAAGAGGAGGAGGAGGAGGAGGAGGAGGAGGAGGAAGGGGGGAAGGGGAAGGATGAGAGGGCTGGATTGAGAAGGTATGAGAATCAAGTTGGAAAGACACCAACGGTAAGCACTCGTGGGGGTGCAGCAGGAGGAGGAGGAGGAGGAGGAGGAGGAGGAGTTCATTACATGGGGAGGAATACAAATGCAGAGGAGACAAATTCCACTTGTATAATGGTAGATGGAAGATCAAGTGATGTAACTGCTCGAACCAAGGAGATAAGAACGGGGGGAGGCAGAGGTGATAAGATAACAGCAAATGGAGAATGGGGTGTGAAAGGAGCGGGGAACGAAGTCCAGGAGAGGGCAGCAGCGGGAGAAAGGGGAGATGATTTGTCGACTAGCGTGGAAATGAGTGATGGAAGCATGAGATCCATCGACCTGGAGGCAGATGACGATCAAAGGGCCATTGGACTGGAAGATTGTGGAGGTCATAGGGTACATGGCATCAGCACTCCCTTGAAAAGGAATGCGTCAATGGGGGCTCTCTATCCAAAGGACAGCATTCATAGATGATGAGTGACTGTGGGGAGTTCACGACCAGAATATACAGGAGAGAGAGAGAGAGAGAGAGAGAGAGAGAGAGAGAGAGAGAGAGAGAGAGAGAGAGAGAGAGAGAGAGAGAGAGAGAGAGAGAGAGAGNAGAGAGAGAGAGAGAGAGAGAGAGAGAGAGAGAGAGAGAGAGAGAGAGAGAGAGAGAGAGAGAGAGATGATGGATCTGTCTAGTCAATACAGTGTTGGGTCCTCGGTGTGGTATTAACCAGACACCAGAGAAGTAAAAGGTCTTCTGCCCTCCCTTTTGATTTTTACTTTCCCAGCAGATTGACCCTGTTGGGGAGAAATCTATTGCTTTGACAAATATAGCATTAATCTGGTAGTTTCCAGGCCGATAAGTATAGTTCCCAGGGCAGGAACAGCTATATATAGGATAATAGGAATCGAGCTAACCTCTTTTGGCATGGATCTGGACTAGATTAGATGGAAAGGGGGTTGGTGCTTACATTACTGCATGGGTGCAGGGGATTGTGTCATATTGTGCAAGACCGATGTAGACAAGCAGGCGAGATGTGAGTGGAGTCGAGGCGAGGATGCGGGAACATGGTATGGGTGTAGGCAGTTCAAGGAGAAAGAAGTGCAGAGGACAAGAAGAGAAGGGATAATAAGAGAAGAGAGAGGTAAATGGTATGAGGATAGGTGTCGGGAAGGATAGGACAAAGGAATGGAGCATGAAAAGAACGGAGGCAGAAAGTGCAAGCAACACATTGAGGGGGCAGTAAGGGAGATGAGAGGTGGAAAATGTGTGCAATAGGAGGGAGAGGAAAAAGGGTGGCTTGGTGGCGGATAGGGACGAAAATGGCAGAGGCGAAGTCAAGAAGCAAGAAGAAAGAGCGTGGCATGTGAATGGAGGCAATCAACGTGGGCAGGAGGGGAGCAAAGGTTTGCAGTCAGATGGCGGAGAGGGGGGTGATTGATCCCGCCCCCGAGCCCAAAGTGGTATTGAGATTTTCTTTCTCCAACTTCCTTGCCATCCTATCTGTCACTTTGGCAATACACCTGACATGCAAGCCATGCTGCCCTGGTCGGTGACATGTTTTGACTCTTTTGACTCTTGAGTTATTTATCGCATGTGCGAGTATAGTCAGGTATACACGCCGGAGTCGAACAGTGAGGTATACACCCGAGCCTGCAGACTTTGCACTATGCAGCAAGCTTTGCCGAATCGCCCACGGCAGTCCTTTTTTTTCTTTTTTGGCTGGCGCTGCCAGCCATTGTTGTCCAGTAGCCCCGAGCCTCGGAAATTAGGAGTGAGCCCCAAGGCTCAGAAATTTTAGGAGTGAGCCACTCGTTTTTTCAAGTTGCCTGGGGCCTTGTACTGGTCGTTCGGACAGAGTCGACAGGACAGACTAGGTTCATATACATTGTATAGCCTAAGCCGTGTGCAAGCGATTTCCTGATTTGATCTGAGGTTGAACTTTGAATTTCAAAGGTCGAACTTCAAACGCGCGTTCAGTTCTATATTTGACAAGCGAGCGATGTGGTTTTCCATCCACGGTTCTTCTTGCCGCTGGGAACCTGGCAAATGATGCGAAAAGCGAAAGCAAAAGTTCAGCGAAACAGAAAAAGGAAATGTCTCGTGATGAGGGAAAGTGAATGACGTCCGTGTTATCTCGCATTCTCCATCCGGCTGTTTCTTCCACCTCAAAACTGGTCCGTCGATATCTGTCTGGAAATGGGTTCGTAACTTTGAATTCGTCTTCGTCTTTCGCGCAGGGACACATACTGACGCGCGTGCTAATGGGAAAGTCGAAGCAAGGTAAACTCTGACAAGCTTTTGAGTTTTGCCAGATTTTGAAAGGCTTCCATGCCCTGCTCTTGTGGGCGGAGGTGGGAAAAGTGGATATGATCGTTGGACAGAAATCTTGCCTGACAGCATGCTTTACTCCTTAGAGTAGTCTTAGAGTCTTAGACAGCAAAAGAAGGCACTATCTGGTAAGCAGTTGTCAAGAGTATACCTCTTACTGATGATTTGGCACATCTCTGCTTCAATGGAAATCCACCCTTACAGCATCTACCTTAACTCTTTTGAAGTTTTGAGTCTTTTCCCAGAAATACAGGCATTTTCTGGTAAGGAACTGTTCGACAGTGTCCTTCGTTTGTCATGCTTCTCTCCAGTAGAAATCTGCCTTAGCAGCTGTCAGGAAAAGGCATTTGTGCCAAACTATGGTGAGGAAATCTCAACAACGTCCCCGACTCATCGTTCCTTTCCACTCTTACGTACCGTTTTCACTTAGCCTCCAAACGAGCCAGTGAACGTCGGACAAAACAGTCCGTCGAAACCCCTCATTTTTGTCCTTTTCTCGCTTTCTGTCGATAGTTCATCAGGCGATTGATTCTTTATGTCGATACGACATATGCGTATACGTATAGTTTGTACACTCTCTCTACACATGTGTGTACAATGCACCAGTGTATGATATATATTCCTTCTTTAAATCCTTTTTTGCACTGACTAGCTGCTCGATTGCCACTCTTCCTTGAGCCTTCCCTGTCGTACATCACCCCTCCAGTGAGTTTCCTATTATCTCCTGCCTGTTTCCAAATTCTTTAGAATTGGATTGTATAATTTGTATTTACTATCTTCTGACGTATTTCACATCTCATTCTACCTTGAAACCATCATCTCCATGTATCCTGCTTTTCACTTACAAGCACATTCACACACATGGAGACAGACAGACACGCAGAGAGAGCCGTAGCAAGCAACTGTGTGTGTGTGTGTGTGTGTGTGTGTGTGTGTGTGTGTGAGAGAGAGAGAGAGAGAGAGAGAGAGAGAGAGAGAGAGAGAGAGAGAGAGAGAG